ATTCTGAAGCTCCATCTGACATACTTTAGGCATGTTTTAAGGAGGAACCAGTCCTTGGAGAGGGACATCATGCTTGGAAGGGTGGAGGAACAGTGCAAGAAAGGAAAACCAAGGATGAGATAGATTGATTCAACAATTAGGGTAATGGGGGAAAGTGTGTCAGAGGTAATGAGATTGGCCCAGGATAGAGCAGGGTTCAGAGCTGTTGTACATAAGGTTGCTATGTGTAGCAAAGTAACTTGATGGTACATAAAAGTAGCAACTCAAGTAAATGCAGCAATGGGGGTTCAGTGGTAGGAATTTCCACCATCCACGCAGAAGACCCAGATTCAATTTATAGTCAACGTCCTTTTCACATGGAGGCTTCCTGTCTATGAAGTGAAGGCTTGTGCATTACTGTAATACCGAATAAAAATATCCATACTAAGACTAAGAAGAAAAAAAGTTGACTTTTAGACATGAAGGTGTGCAGCATAAAGCTCTGAGCAACAGCCAATCCTGGGGATGGAATTTGTGATAAAATAACTCATTTGGCTTTAAATTTGGCTTTTGTCTTTGATTCCTAAAATATGTTCATTGTTGTTGCCATGAAACCAATTTTGGCTATACTATCCTATACAAACAGTGTCTTATATGACAGTATAGAATAGCTCTCTAGGGCTTCTATCTTTGTAACCAATAAAAGGATTTAAGCAAATAATTTTAAAGGTTTCTTGGATTGTCCAGAGTATAATCTTTTGAGAGGGTGACACATCCCTTCAGAAAATAGGAGCTTCCTTGCGAGACTGCTTCCAGATTTTCTTTGGTTATTCCCACTTACAATCAATGTGCAATTCTAATTACTGATGTTGTTGCCATTGACTTGATTCGAATGTATATCCCTTATAGGAGGACCAAGTAGAATCACAGAGTTTCACTCCAACTTACTGTTGTTGAGTTGGTTGTACATAGTGACCCTCCAATAGGTTTCTGATGTTGTAAATCATGAAAGGAAGACTGCCCATCTTTCTCCTTCAGTGTTGCTACACCATAAACTTCACTGGAGCAAATAATCAGGTTTTTTCTTATTTGAAGTCATAATGGGTTATCGTTGTTAGGTGTCATCAGGTCAATTAGAACTCATAGCAAACTTGAACAATGGATCTGAAACGTGTCCTATCATGTGGCATTTTCATCATTTCTGATATTGTCAAACCCATTGTTAAAGTCACTGTAATAATCTATTTCAGTGACGGTCTTCAATCCTTTCACTGACCCCTCCACCTTTCAAAGTTAAATATCCCTTTTTAAGGACTGAACTCCTCTAACACTATGTCCCAAATATGAAATATGTGAGATCAAGTTTCATCACTCTTACATGTAAGGAGCACTTCGGTTGTACTTTTGTCAATATGTATTTGTTCATTCTTCTGGCACTGCATATTCAGTATTCTTCTCCAATGTCACAGCTCAAAGAGACCAATTCATATTCTGTTCACATTAGTGTTTGTCAAACTTTCAGGTGCATAGAAAGTAATTGAAAAAATCTGGTTTGAATCAGGTGCACTTTAATATTTAAACTGACATAATTGTCCTTAACACCTGGGAAGCAGTCCTTGAAGGCAGATTTTCCCAGTTTAGTATGTCTTTTGATTTGTCAACTTCTGGTACCAGGGATGTTGATTGTGGATTCAAGCAAGATGAAATAATTGATGTCTTCAATCTTTTCTCCATTTATCATAATATTGTATATTTTTCCAGTAATGAATATTTTTGTTTTCTTAATATTGAGACGTAATCCATTTAGAAGGCTTCTTTGATCTTCTACAGCAAGTATTTCAAGTTTTTTTCATTATAAGCAAGTCAGAACCTCTAAATTTTGGTTACCTGTTGAGCACTTGAGCACTCACCATTGGGTTGGCTAGTTGTTTTGTATTGTTGTTTTGTTGTGTTTTTTTTTTTAAATTGGGTGTCACCCAGATGTTTCACAATTAGCAACCCAGTGTATAAGAGAATAAAAGTCTACACCATCCTGGGAAATCTTGACAATCTCTGCTGTGTGTAAGCTGACATCACTGCTACCTAGTGCAAGAGTAACGTCAAGGACCTGACAATGAATCTATCACAGAGTGGAGAGAGTAGAGGATCCTAGCCACGTGATGTTGTATACCCATGACAGTAGACAAAAGAAACATTGGTTACATTAGTGGCCTTTCTCTCACACTACTTCTGAGACAAAAGAGTACAACAGACTTCAGCAGAGAACACAACAGCAAGAGGACAGCCACCAGTGCTGTGCAGGAACACCAGCATCACAGGGGTGTGGAGAGGTCTGGGCAGATAGAGGTGGGTGGAGGCCTAAGCCATCCAACTAGGATTGGCTAAGTGGAGAGGGGAAAAGGTGCTGGAGGGCCAAGGAGAGGGAACTGAGCTAGATACTCGCAAAGCAGGGTTGTTGTTGTTATGTGTCATAGAGTCACTTGCGACTCATAGCCACCCTATATACAAGAGCCCTAAACGGCATTCTATCCTGTGCCAACCTCACCGTCTCAAACACACTCATTTCCACCACTCCAGTCACAGAATCGATCCATCTCATCGAGGGCCTTTGTCTCCTGCACTGTCCTTCCACTCTCCCAAACATGATGTCCCTCTTCAAGGGCCAGTCATCCCTCCTTGCAACATGCCCAAAATATGTCAGATGAAGCTTAGAATCCTTGACTCCAAGGAGCAATGCAGCTTCACCCTCGCCAGGACAAACATGTCTGTGCTCCTAGAAGTGCATGGTATATTCAACATTCTTCTCCAGCACCACAGTTCAAAGGCATCAGTTATCTTTCTATCATCCCTAGTCACTGTCCAACGTTCAGACACATAGCATGTAATTGCAAAGCCTATAGCCTGGATCAGGCACACCTTAGTCTCCAGCCTGACATCATTGCTCTTCAGTACTCTTAAGAGGTGCCTCACAGCTGACTTTCCCAATGCAATTCGTCTCCTGATTTCCTGGCTGCTGTTACCAAGAGTGTTGACTGTGGAATCAAGTAAACTAAAACTGTTAACTATCTCAATCTCTTCACCATTCATACTGATGCTGCCAATTGGCCCAGTGTGAGAATTTTTGTTTTCTTGATGCTGAGCTTCAATCCATATTGAAGACTGCTTCCCTTGACTTTCTGAAGCAAGCACTTCAGGTCCTCCTCAGTTTCAGCAAACAGGCTTGTGTCATCCACATAACGCAGGTTGTTGATGACTCTTCCACCAATCCTGATGCCACATTCCTCCTTGTACAGTCCAACACCTCAGATAATCTGTTCTGCACACAGATTGAAAAGGTATGGGGACAAAATACATCCCTGATGGACCCCCTTCTTGTTTTGAACCATCTACTGTCTTCCTGCTCTCTTCTGACGACTGCCTCTTGGTCCAAGAATAGCTTTCGCATAAGCACAATCAAATGTTCTGGGATTCCCATTCTTCTCAGAGTTAGCCATAGCTTGTTGTGATCCACACAGTCAAAAGCCTTTGCATAGTCAATGAAGCACAGATAGACATTCTTCTGGTACTATCTGCTTTCTGCCAAGATCCATCTAATATTAGCTATAATATCCCTAGTACCACAACCTCTTCTGAATCCAGCCTGCACATCTGGCAGTTCTCTGTTGACATTGTTTCAATCATTTTTGGATAATTTTCAGCAGAATCTTGCTTGCATGTGATATCAATGATATTGTTTGATAATTTCCACACTCTGTTGGGTAGAGTAGGGAAAGAGATACATACACCTAAATGGGTGGTGGATGGCACCAACACCTGATCTGTTACCTGACTAACGAGAAAGGTCTCATCTCCTCTTTTGGGCAAAATTCTTGTCTGTGAAATATTGCTTTAGAGTTGAGCACTCAAATTAATACAGACAAGGGAGAAAGACTGGCAATCTACACTCCAAATAATAGGCCTCAGAAGACCTTATGTACAATAGAGCACATTTAGAGTAGACTAGTAGACATAGTACCAAAGGCAGAAACTTCTCACTGGTAATCACAAAAGAGGTGAAACAGTTGCAAACAGACACCACTGATTGAAATGTGGAATGTGAAAACTACGGAAAAATTGGAAATTGTTAAGAAATGGAACACATAAATATTGACTCACTAGGCATTGGCAAAATGAAATGGGTTGGCATGGGACATTTAATCATATTATATACTATGGTAGAGATGGAAAGATGAGGAATAAATAAATAAAATCCCTTTCATAGTTAATAAGATAATTTCTAGATTCATCTTGAATACAATATTGTGAGTGAAAGTGTAATACCTATAACACATAGGAAGAGGACCTGTTACTACCACTATCATTCAAATACATGCACCAACAATCAAGGCCAAAGAAGAGGAAATAGATAAATTTTACCAATTTTGCAGTCAGAAATTGATTGAACATGCAACCCACATACTTCGATAACAATGGGTGATTGGGATGCAAAAGTTGGGAACAAGGAAGAAGGATCAGTCATAGACTTGGTGACAGAAATGAAACTGGAGATAGAATAATAGAATTCTGTACAATCACTGATCTAGTAATTACAAATACATTTTATATATAAAAAAGCAACAACCATAAATGGCTACAATACACATTCACTTCACTTGATGGGCGACACAGGAATCAGATTGACTACATCTGTGGAAGAAATCATTAGAGAAGCTCAATATCAGCTGTGAAAACTAGGTCAGGTGCTGATTGTGAGAACAGACCATCAATTACTCATATGCAAGTTCAAAATGAAACTTAAAAGAAAAAAAAGAAAAATAAAATCTATGAGAAACAAAGTTTGAACTCAGAACTATCCCACCACATTTTACAGACCATCTGAGGAACAGGTTTGAAGCCTTGAACATTAATGAGTGATGACCAGATGAGTGTGGGAGGATATAAAGAATCTTATTCAGCTGAGGCACTTTGCAGCTTAGACCACGAGGTGGCTTGAGTCTTTCCCCGCGTATCGCGTTTTTGGAAGCCAAGATGTCGCACCCATCTCCTCAAGCGAAGCCTTCCAACCCTAGCAATCCCCGAGTCTTCTTTGATGTGGACATCGGAGGGGAGCGAGTTGGCCGAATTGTCTTAGAATTGTTTGCAGATATCGTACCTAAAACTGCAGAAAATTTTCGTGCATTATGTACTGGAGAAAAGGGTGTTGGACCCACAACTGGAAAACCTCTCCATTTCAAAGGATGCCCTTTCCATCGAATTATTAAGAAATTCATGATTCAGGGTGGAGACTTCTCAAATCAGAATGGGACAGGTGGAGAAAGTATTTATGGTGAAAAATTTGAAGATGAAAATTTCCATTATAAGCATGATCAGGAGGGTTTATTGAGCATGGCCAATGCAGGATGCAATACAAACGGTTCTCAGTTCTTTATCACAGCAGTTCCAACTCCTCATTTGGATGGGAAGCATGTGGTATTTGGCCAAGTAATTAAAGGAATGGGTGTGGCAAGGATGTTGGAAAATGTAGATGTGAATGGTGAAAAACCTGCCAAATTGTGCGTTATTGCAGAATGTGGAGAACTAAAAGAAGGGGATGACTGGGGAATAGTCCCAAAAGATGGCTCTGGTGATAGTCATCCAGATTTTCCTGAGGATGCAGATATTGATTTAAAAGATGTGGATAAAATTTTATTGGTAACAGAAGATTTAAAAAAACATTGGGAATACTTTTTTTAAATCCCAGAACTGGGAGATGGCCATAAAGAAATACGCTAAAGTTTTAAGCTATGTGGAAAGTTCAAAGGCTGTTCTTGAGAAAGCAGATGGATCTAAGCTACAAACTGTGGCTTTAAGCTGTGTACTGAATATTGGTGTTTGTAAACTGAAGATGTCAAACTGGCAGGGAGCAGTTGACAGCTGCTTGGAGGCTCTTGAAATAGATCCATCAAATATCAAAGCATTATACCGCAGAGCTCAAGGATGGCAAGGATTAAAAGAATACAATCAAGCACTGGCTGATCTTAAGAAAGCTCAGGAGATAGTTCCAGAAGATAAAGCTATACAGGCAGAATTGCTGAAAGTCAAACAGAAGATAAAGGCACAGAAAGATAAAGAGAAGGCAGCTTATGCAAAAATGTTTGCTTAATGAGTAATTCAATTTTGTTTAGTTTTTGCATAAAGGCAGTAAGATTTAAGAGTGTGTATTATCCCCAAAGTGTTTCCATTTATGTTTCAATTTCCTATTGTTTACAGTTTGCAGATACTGATGGCCTCACTCATAATAAAACAGTGTTACAAAAAAAAAAAAGAATCTTATTCATGAAGAATGCAAAAAGTCAGTACAAAATAGAGAAAGACAAGATCAAGATGGAAGTCAGAAGAGACTCTGAATATTGTACTAGAGTGCCAAGAAGCCAAAGCAAAAAGAAATCAAGACATTGAGAAGCTGAACAGATTTCAAAAGGCAACATGAGAAGACAAAGCAAAGTCTTATAATAAAATATTTGAAGAGCAGAAGTTGGAAAATTAAAAGGGCAAAACTCGTTCAGCGTTTCCTAAGCTAAAGGAACTAAAGAACAAATTCAAGCCTTAAGTTGCAATACTTCAGGACGCTGAAGGAAGAATGTTAAAGGACCAGGACACACCAAAAGAAGATGAAAGGAGTACACAGTCATTATACCAAAAAGAGTTGGCTGACAGAAGAATTTCATGAACTAATGTGATCAAAAGCCTATGGTGATGAAGGAGGAAGTTCCAGCTGCTCTAAAGGAACCGGCAAAAACCAAAGCCCTAGCAATTGATGGAATACCAATTGACATATTTCAGCAAACAGATGCTGCCCTGACATGGACTCACTCACCAGCTTGCACCAAGAAATCTGGAGGACAACTACCTAGCCAATTGACTGGAAGAGATCAGTATTCATATTCCAAGAAAATGGTGGCCGAACAGAGTGTGGAAATTATTAAACATTATCACTAATGACTACTAATGATTATCACTAATGATCACTAAAGATTATGCAAGTAAGATCCTGCTGAAGATGATCCAAAATGACTGGAACAGTACGTCAGTAGAGAATGGCCAGATGTGCAGGCTGGATTTAGAAGAGGTCATGGCAGTAGGGACATAACAGCCAATGTTATTTGGATCTTTGCTGAAAGCAGAGAGAACCAGAGGAATAGCTCTCTGTGTTTCATTGATTATACAAAGACTTTTTACTGTGTGGAAAATAACAAATTGTGGATAACCTTGAGAAGAATGGTGATTCTAGAACACTTAATTGTGCTTTTGTGAAATAATATCCTTGAACTAGAAAGCAGTAGTTAGAACAAAGCTGAGAAACTGCATGGTTCAGGATCAGGAAAGGTGTGCATCAAGGATGCAGCTTAAAAGGTATGAACCTTTTCAATCAATACGTAGAACAGATTATTTGGGAGGTTAGGTTTTAGGAGAAATGTGGCATCAGGATTGGAGGAAGACTCATCAACAACCTTGCGTCATGCAGATAACACAACCTTGCTTGCTGAAGTTGCAGATGGTAATGAACTATAGCCTTCACAATGGATTGAAAGCTCAATATCAAGAAAATAGAGTAAAAAGGGAAGCCACAGACTGGGAAAAAGTATTTGGTAATGACATGTCAGATAAGGAATATATCCAGAATTTATAAAATACTTGAACACCACAATAAGATAAAGGTAAATAATCCATTGGAGAAATGGGCACAAGATATGAACAGACACTTCACTGAAGAAGACATTCAGATGGCCAACAAGCACATGAAGAAATGTTCA